CAAAAATTTCCCCCCGGGGGGGGGGGGGGGGGGGTATGGATCTTTTCTGGAACGACCCAATATTAGATAAATCCACAATCCGCAAATCCGTGTAAAATATTCGCCAGATCCGTAATCCGAACAATTTTTTCTGTGAAATCCAACGATCCGAAAACCTATTAACCCCCCCCTTTCCAGTCAGGCCAAAACGTGTGCTTTACAACCCGGTGTACTTAATCGATAAAAACCGATCATCGGAAATCCAATCGATCAATCGATGGTAATCGATGTTAGTTACTTAATTGATATCGATTGACATTGATCAATCGATGACCAATCCATAGTCACAAAAAATTATAGCCAATTTTATCGATTATTATCGATATTCATCGATTTTCATCGATAGTTATCGATTTTTATCGACAAAATGCTTTCGATTTTTATCGATTTCTATCCTAAACTAATCGCCGTGTGTCGGCGTGTTCGAGCTAAATAGTAAATCTGTTCTCATTTTTCGAATGTACACATGTATTTGATCTGTATTATAGCTAGATGAAAACTTAATTTAATCCATTGTTACTGAATTCCGTTCACATTTGAGTCTGTTACAACATTAAAGTACGTATTAATTAAATTACGGCGTTACCTGTTTGATTGCATGCATATTAACGGAGGATTTTTTCATCAATCAAAATTAATAATAAATCGATGATCAATCGATGAAATTCACAGCAAAAGAAGCCATTGATTATTCATCGATTTCCAATATCAATCGATTGATAAATATTGATTGGTATTGATTGATATTGATACTCATCGATTATCGGTTTCATTGATTAAGTACGCTGGGTTTACAAGCCTGCTGTATTACAGCAACACACTGGTGTACACTGCAGTTTTACCAGGCTTTTGGACTGCAAATCACACATGACTGCTGATAGCTGTACGTATCATTTAATACCCAGCATAGTGCATTCAAGATCAGATTTCCCCTCAGTTAAATACAATTATACATAATACATGATATCACCTAATGATTTGTACAGTTAAAAACGTACCGTGAACGGGAAGATCTTCACTTTCGTCAGCCCAGCTTGTTGTTGTAGTTGGTTTTGCTGCATATACAACACTACTTCCACTACCTTGTGATGTATCATTCGACAAGAATGCTGTAAGGAGCATTGTTTTGCCCTTTTTCTTTCCTTTCTTTTTACCGCCTGAAAAGAAAATCACAGCAGAAAATAAAGCTTTAACCTTTTGTAGCATCAGATCTCTTCATGAATCAGTGAAAAACGATAAGAGAACGATATTACTCAATGAAATAGAAATAAAAAATAATTACCCGTGTCCGCCATGTTTAGAAACGTGTTAGAGGACCAGCCTCGGTGGTGATTCGGCGAACGATCACTGGTTGAATGCCACGGAGATTTCCGATTTCTGAACGAGTAGGCACGATTCAACCTCGTAATACCAATGCATAATACCAGAGCCTCGGCACCGCGCAATGACCCTGGATACGAGACTGTAGTTGGGCGGTCATGCCATAGATATCTTATATACACTTAGCCTGCTCGCAGGCCGGTGTCAGGCAGAGGCTGCATGGGAGGTACGGCCTGCGACCTTTATTAGTAAAAAGTCGATTTATGCGTACGGAGCGTACGCAAAATTCCCATTGGTCAGAAGTGCCCCATGAGTTAATATCGTGCAAATATTTAACTCGTACGACATTTCGCAATGTAATTTTAAAGCTGGCATTCAAACAGTGGCGTATAAAACCATGACTTTGTTTATCTCTTCGAAGAAGTAACTGAATGTATTTGAGAAACCTTTCAATTTAAATTAACGTTGAAGGATGAGCGAAGGTTAGCAATATTAACTGTACTTCCAACGGGATTTGATAAAGTTTACATGTAATATACCGATACTTTGTCTTCGTCAGCTATAATAATAAACCTTTTCCAAAGAAGTACAAGGGAAAACTTCGACGTATGCCTTGCTGATCTTTGCAGAGAGAGTAAAATAAGTCTAGTTCAGGCTGACAATTTATCTACCCGCGTTTGCATCACTTGCGGTTTCAAACGTTGAACAACTTAAGGTTAGCCCAGCGAGACGTTCGTTGAGACACAGGCAGTGAATCAGCTAGTATAAAGCAGTTGATTGTCCAATGCCTCCGAACATTTCTCCCAAATACTTCCCTGTCAACCCAAGGCTTTCTGCCTAAACAATCTGGTCTAGTGGTCTTGAATAAGTCAAGACAATGGGCAAATTATTAAAACAGTCGCCGTCGAGGAAAGTCGTTCTTAGAACACCTGGCCAATTTGAATTTACACCTGGAAATTTTGCAATAGTCGTTTGCGTGTTTTTGACCGAAGTCCGCTCTCTCTTTGAGACTTTATTTTTGGGAGTCTCAACTAGTGACATATATTATTACAACAAGAGCTTTTTACAAAAAAAATGTAGTTATTAAACACGGCAGAATCTATGCCACGGCCACGGGTTTTCAAATTGTCTATTGTCTATTGAGTTAATTGTATTATTGAGCAAATGACAGACTTCACGCAATAATGATTAATGTTGTCTTTTAGCCTGCTATTGTTCGAACACTTTTAATAAATAGTGTTTGTTACTTTGTTCAAAACCTAAATACGTTTCCTTAAATCTTACAGTTATATTTTGGATATAAATATATAAAATACATTAACTAATAGAGTAAAATTTTACGTCTCTGTAGTATAGTTACATAATTTAAAACGGCAATGTACGAACAAGACAGCAATATACAA